GGTATAGAGTGTAAATGAGCATTATGTACCCAACAAAGGTTCCATTTCAGCATCATAGGTCTTTCAGTTTGTATATAATATCTCTAGCTACTCAATTTAGACTATCTGGGAATATTTAAAGCAATATTTAGTGCTTTATTGTCTGTTTGTGGTTTGTTGCTGTGATTTGATTTTCAAGTTTTAATTTTGGGGTTTTTTGTAAGTATTTAAATGGGAAATTGAATAAGGTCTAAATCATAGACAGATATAGTCTTGAACTTAAAGCCACAAAAGTGTTAGGAATAAAGCAGGGATTGTGGATGGAAGTGGGTTACTTGTTATTCTTGTTATTTTAACAAACATTTACTTTTTATATTTCTGTGTAATACATGAAGGTGAAAATTGGCATAATATTTTAGAGAACCAGGTTAGCAATATCTATCCAGAGGTAAATGAGTATATACTTTTTAACATGTAAGCCCAGTCTATGAAATTAGCATTAGGAAACAAAAGACTTGCAGAATTATAGGCCATCTTGTCAGTAGTTCACTGCCCAGTGGTTCAGGGAACAAAGAATTTTATTTGTTGTCATGTTATATAGGCATGTTACCTCATTTTGCTGCCTCCATGGACTAATCTATACAATAGCTATAACAATATGTCTCTTAGCATTGTGATGAAATTAAATGAGATAGTTAGACATAAAGTGATTGTTCAGAGTATAGCAGGCTTTTGGGGTTTTAGTGCCTTTGTGTCATCTAATACTCTGGAGTGAATATTAGCATTACCAATATTTGTTCTCCATTCTTTCTCACATTTTGGTCCTCTTAGTTGACCTTCCTTTCCTTTCTATTTTAAATCTTGTCTAACACAAAGCTTCATACTAAAAACACACGTAGCTTGAATTCAGATGCTGTGAGTTATTTCTCTGCATGATAATCATTTCTTACCCTAAAGAGAGACTTTTATGTGAAAGGTAAATACCCAAAAGTTACACAATAATCTCATTTTTTTTTCTTTTTTATTGAGATTTTACTGAAAGATTATAGAAGACTTGGATTTCCATTCATTCATTGTTGCACATTTTTCTCCCTGCACACCCCTACCCCCTAGTTCACTTTTCTCTTTGAAAAGAAAAAAAAATTCATTGTTATACAATAGTCCCACCCCACCCCTGTTCACTTTACTATGCAGCTCTTAGAATTCTGGATTCTTGTCATGCAAATAATACCTAACCATATATCCCTTTTAAACAGTTATCTTCGTCATCTGTTTCAATGCAGTGTACATTATTTATCCCCTTTTTTCTTAATTTTCACCCAAACCCGGAGTCAGTCCTATTTTATAACAGTGGCATTATGCAATAGTTGTCCTTTTATGACTGAGATATTTCACTCAGCATACTGTCCTCCAGGGTCACCCATTTTGTATACTGTCTCATTAGTTCCTTGTTTTTCAGTGCTGCATAGTATTCCATTGTGTGAGTATACCACAGCTTCTCTAGCTATTCTTTTGTTGATGAGCACTTGGGTTGTTTCTAACTTTTTGCTATTGTGAACAAAGCAGCAATAAACATGGGTGTGCATATATCTGTTTGTGTGGCAGTTCTGGTTTCTTTAGGGTATATTCCCAGTAATGGAATTGCTGGGGCAAATGATATTTCTATTTCCAACTTTTTGAGAAAGAATCATACTGCCTTCTATAATGATTGCACCATTTTACACTCCCACCAACCATGAATAAGGGTTCCAGTTTCTCTACAACCTCACCAACATTTGTTGTTTGCTGCTGTAGTGAATTTTGCTATTCTTACTGGGGTGAGATGATATTTCATAGGTTGTTTTTTTTTATTTGCATCTCTCTTAAAGCTAGGGATTTTGGACATTTTTTCATGTGTTTGTCCACCATCTGAATATCTTCTTTGGTGAAGTGTCTCTTCATATCCTGTGTCAATTTTGCAATTGGGCTGTTTATCTTGTTGTGGTGCTCGAGTATTCTATGAATTCTAAATATGTCTCTTATCATATATGTCATTGTTGTTATTGTTATGTGCCATCGAGCCACTTGCAATTCATAACAACCCTATGTACAAGAGCTCTAAATGCCGTTCTATCCAGTGCCAACCTAGCCATCTCAACTGCACTCATTCCCACCACTCCAGTTACAGAATCGATCCATCTCATTGACATGTCATTACCAAAATTTTTTCCCAGTCTGTGGCTTCCTTTTTTACCCTATTAGAGAAATTTTTGGATGTGCATAGGGATTTAATTCTTAGACGGTCCCATTCATCTATATTATCCTCTCCTGGTTGTAGGTAAGTATCTCATTTTTATATATTCCCTTAGGAAACATATTTTCTATTAAAAATAGACAATTTAGTACTTACCAGGCAGAGGAAATACCCTGACCATGAAGATGGTTTTCCCAGGGCTAGGTCCATGGATTGCACTGCTAATGTGCTGATCCCTGCAATTTCCTTAACTTTTGATTTGGGTAATGTGGGTATTGTGTGCATACTATCCCTGTAAAATAAAACGTAAATAAAACAGAAAATTCATCCTAGAATATTATTGAAACTGAATTATATTTCAAGTTAGCAAATATGGAAGTTCCTTGTTAACATCCATGAAATAAAATTTCCAAAACCTACATAAATAATTCATATGCATAATTCAAGTCATCTTTTACAAACATTTCTAAGTGTATGTCTGTTATGTATGAATGCTAAACAGGAATTTTAATACTGTTAATTATTAGAATACTCTTCTCTGTAAATTTTTTCATACATGTGACAACTTCACAAGTAGTAGACAGTGAGAAATGCTAAATTAAAAACTGACCCTTTTCTAGTTAGTTTTTTTCCTAAATATTAATCCTGATTCTGCTATTTTTAAATGTGAACTTTATCATCAGGAGTTTATGTGAGCACTCAAGCAAAAGTTGAAAAGCTCAATAAAACAGAAAATAATAAATGCTGGTACAAGTACAAAGAGTTTGGAACTCTTGTGCATTGGTATTGGGACTGTAAAATGGTGCAATAACTGTGGAAAACAGTATGGCATTAATAGTTGAAAATAGAAATGCCACTTGGTATACCAATCTTACTATAAGGTATATATCCTAAAGAAGTAAAAACTGGAAACCAAACAAATAGGTACACGATCATCTTGACTATAGCACTCTCTAGAATAGTAAAAAGAAGGAAATAACCTAAGTTCCCATCTCATAAGATAAATGGCTAAACTATTGTTGTTGTTGTTATGTTCCATCAAAGTCACTTGCAACTCAAAGAGATCCTATGTACAACAGTTCTGAACTCCGCTCTATCTTGAGCCAACCTCGTTGTCTCTGACACACCTACCCCCATTTCCCCAGTCACGGAGTCAATCCATCTCATCAGCAGTCTTCCTCTCTTGTGCTGTCCCTCCACCTTTCCAAACATGATATCCCTCTCCAACAACTGGTCCCACCTAACAACATGTCCAAAGTATGTCAAACGAAGCTTCAAAATCCTTGCCTCCAAGGAGCAGCCTTGTTTACCCTCTCCATGAAATTGTTTGTTCTCCCAGCAGCCCTTGTCATATTCAATACTCTTCTCCACCACCACAGCTCCTTCTAGCATCCCTAGTCATTTTCCAGCTTTCTGATGCATAGCAACTAATATGCAAGTTTATGACTAAACTACAGTGTACACTAATTAGAATACCACAAAACACTGAAACTACTGCACCATCTAGCAGAGATTAATGTAGAATACATTATGCTAGATGAAATAAGTCAGTTACAAAAGAGGAAATATTATATGGACACAAAATTATAAAAATCTAAGGGAAGATTTGGAATTTGGAGGTCCTTGGGTGGAGCAGTTGGATTCTGGAAGATGATTTCTCTGGAAGAGTTTTGGTGAGGGTCAGGTGGGGGCTGTTTGGTTGGGGTTTTGTTACCCATTCACAATTAGGTGTGATCTGATTTGTCAAATTTAGCCAACAATGAGTTGTGGCCTGGAAGCCTCTTAGTTTAGAGTCAACCAGGCTTGTGGCCCTTGGGCCTGGTGTTAATTGTGGTTGGGATGAACATTGTTCTACATGGTTCAGCACTGGTCTGTCAATTTACTGTACTTAGGGTTGATGTGATGCTGAACACTGTGTCACTGGTGTTAAATACCATAATGGTTATCCATCATGGACAGTGTTTGGTGGAGCTCCCGGATTGATTCAGGTTTGGAAACAAAAGTGGCATCCACTTCTGAACCCATATGCCTCTGGAAACTCCATGAACATAGAGAAACAACCACAGGTATAGAACAGGGTTCTATAAATGCTGTTGACTTGAATACGATTCATTGCAACCCTATGAACAAAATATCTGAACTCTGTTCTATCTTGCACCATCCTCACACTTCCTGACATACAAGAGCCCTTTGCAGCAGTCATTGTGTCAATCCACCAAGTTAAGAGTCTTCCTCTCCTTCACCAACCCTCCACTCTTCCCAGCATCAAGTCCTTAATTTGGGTTGAAGTATAAAATCCTATAAAACTACTTAAAGGGAGCTTTTGTATGGTGTATAGAGCACCATAAATCTTTTCCTTAAAACAAGTAGCACATAATTTCAGACAGTTCTTTGATTTATTTTTGCTTCTCTAAATAAGATGGATTTATGAAAATAATTGTGATAATGGAGATTTAGGGAAACATTTGTCTGGTGGGGATCATAAGATTCAAAAACTGAAAGTCTAACATCTCACTTAAAGTAGAAATCCCTAGTACATCTTCAGTCTTCTAAATGAAAAACCAATTCATTTGGACTTTTAAGATCTAATCATTCCTTAGTTGAGAACATTTTAAAAGTATGTGCATAATTTAATTTCTAAATATAAATCAAAGTGTACAAGTTTAAATTTATCTAAGCATAGATCCCAAAATAAAAGAAAACCTGTTTAGTTTTGCAAAGAACTAAAATAGGAGTTTTTATAAAAGTTAAACTAGCTGATTTTTTTTCCTAAAATTTCTGATTTTAGGCAACAGGTTCAAGACTTGGTGCCATAACACAAAATGCAACCTGCATGGGACTCTCAATTCTCATTTCCTTCTTGCATGGGTGGGAGATGACACTCCTGATTCTGGTTATTGCTCCAGTACTTGCTCTAACGGGAATAATAGAGACTTCAGCAATGACTGGATTTGCCAACAAGGATAAGCAAGAATTTAAGCGTGCTGGGCAGGTAAGATGAAGCTGGCTGTTGCCATGATGCCTACTTTAAAAGAAAAAAAAATAAGAGCTAACATATTTACAATATATTAGCGTCACTCCTTAGGAATCTATAAAGTAGTATGTTGTTGTTGTTGTTGTTGTTGTTGTTATGTGCTGTCGAGTCTTTTGCGACTCATAGCGACCCTATGTACAACAGCCCTAAACCCTGCTCTATCCTGTGCCAATCGCATTGCCTCTGACACACCCATCCCGATTACCCCAGTCACTGAAACAATCCATCTCATAGAGGGTCTTCCCCTCCTACACTGTCCCTCCACCCTACCAAGCATGATGTCCCTCTCCAAGGACCCGTCCCTCCTCGTAACATGCCGAAAGTATGTCAGACGAAGCCCCAGAATCCTTGCCTCCAAGGAGCTGCTTGCTTTAACCCTCTCCAGGATGAATCTGTTTGTTTTCTTGGCAGTCCATGGTAAATTCAATACTCCAGCACCACAGCTCAAAGGCACCAATTCTCCTTCTGTCCTCCCTAGTCATTGTCCAACTCTCTGATGCATAACAAGTGATTGCAAAAACCATGGCCTGTCTCAGGCGCACCGTTGCTCTTGAGTACTTTAGATAGAGATATTTAAAAACATACAGGCCAGGTTTGGGTAGTATGTCGATATGGTGTAACAATATGGCATGGCACTTTAGAGACAGTCTCTGAAGTAAGATCGATTGCATTTGAATACGGATTGTATCACTAGCATATATGTGATATGGCAATATATTCAATTCAAATAGATGACAATATATTTCCAGACTTCCATTTTCTACATCTGTAAAGTAAAATAGTAATAGTAGTATTCCCTTAACAGGGAGCTCTGATGGTCCAGTCTGTAAGGAATTGTACAGCCAACACTAAAGTTGCTTCTCTCTGATGGTTCCAATCCACCATCATCTCTCAGACAGAAGGATGGATAATCTCTTCATGTGTGATTTACAGCCTCAGACACCTTTTGGAGGGTCAGCTACAAGTGGGTTCCAACTGCACAACAATGAGTTGACTTGCAATTCACTTAATGGATTTTTGTGAGGAGTAAGAAAATCATTTAGAATTGTTATATCTAAAACAGTTAAGTTAGTGTCTGGAAGACAGTTAACACAACACAAACCATCAGTCCAACTCCTAAGGACCCCACATGTACTACTCGACAAAGTTTTCTGAGCTGTCAATTTTAGGGAAGTAAATCTCAAAGCCTTTCTTCAATGGCGCTGTTTTGTGGGTTTAAACTGCTACTCTAGATGAGTGTTGTTGTTGTTATGTCTCATCAAATCAGAGCTGATGCATAGCTGACCCTCCAGCAGATTTTCAGAAGCAGGAAAGCACACAGGAGGAGATTACCCACCTTTCTACCACAGAGCAACTAGTGGATTTGAGCCACGTGCCTTTGGGTTGGCATTACAACTCTTTACCACTAGTCTAATAATCAAGAATAATCCATTATACCATCCAAACATATTTGGAAAATAGCAAACATCAATAAAATCAGTCAATATTACTCCCGTGTCAGGGAAGATTTTGCTAACCTCATGACCTTTAAGCCTCTAATTGTTAGATAATTAAATGTACCTGAACAATTTATTCTGCTTACTATTTTATTTTTCAAAATAAATAAGAAATATAGTTACATTAATGGGTAGAAGGCAATGCACCAATATAGAAAGTTTCTGTAAGAAGACTTCAGAGACAAGAATCATTTTGTACTGACCAAAATGACCATTTCATTATTTTAAAGTCTTTTGATATATTTAAATTTGTCTGGCTAAAACATTGGTGGATAGTTCAGTGACTAGGGTAATCAGGATGGGTGTGTCAGAGGCAATGCGATTGGCACAGGATAGAGCAGGGTTTAGGGCTGTTGTACATAGGGTCGCTATGAGTCGCAAGTGACTCAACGGCACATAACAACAAAAACATATTCATGAAAATCATTCTTGAATTGGATATTTAGGTGAACATTTGTCTTGTGAGATCAGTGATATAAGAATTGAAGATGAAATTTTTCACCCAAAATAAAAAACCCTTGCGTAACGTCCAAGTGGCTACCCATTCATCCAGCTTCTGCTCAGCTTCTCACTTGTTAACATTGGATAGCTTTAGATGATAGGCATTCCTTTTCATCTTTTCTTACCTTTCTTTGTTTGTTTTTTGGTGGTGTTTGTTTTATTTTGTGTTTTGTTTGTTGTTTTGTGGGGTGTTTTCTTTTTTGGTAGTGCCCATCTATCCAAATCTTGTCTTTAATCTTGGTAGAAATCCAAAACACTTTCTCAAGATTGCCCATTAAGAACAGCTGCAAAACATAAGCCTAGAGTCTTAACTATATGTCCCCAGACTTTCAACCAGTCCTTTTCATGGTAGAGTTTCAAGGATTTTTTTTCAATATTGATGAACAAGTTCTAGAAAGGATAATTATCTTCGTGTAATTTATATTCTATACCATTGGTGACACATTATGTTTACTATGAATAATTGCCAGAAGAGATTCCAAGTACATAACTAACCTGTGGTCCTTTCTCCATTTCCAGCACCAGAGGAGGACCTACTGAATGCCTACTTCTGCTGTGCACACTGAGCTGCTCAGCAAACACTTGCCTCAGAGACAGTAAAAATAGTTTAGCCCTCTCCCTGTGCTGTTGTTGTTGTTTAATGCCGTCGAGTCGTAGACAACTCATAGCGACCCTATGAACGAACAGCCTGAGCACTGTTTGTACACAGAGTTTCCAGAGGCAAGCCATTTTGGAAGTGGATGCCGCTCCTGCTTCCAGTGTACAAATAGCAAAATTTCTGTACTACTGGAACTCCAAAGAATGATATTGACTCATTTCACTTTTTTATCATGAACAGTAGTAGTGTATGTGCCTTTGACATAAGGAATACAAAGTTTGGAGGACTGTTTTGTTTTTAATCAACATAGTAAGCCCACCCTATCCAAACAGTTGTTGCTGCTATGTACAATTTGTACAATCTCTCACAGCTGACCCTCCATCTGGTTTTTAGGGGCTACAAATAACACAGAAAGTGATCACACATCTTTCTCCCATGGAGCCGCTGGAGGATTCAAATCATGTGCCTTGAGGATGGTAGCACCACTCCTTACCACTAAACCACCAGAACTCCCTTCCAAACAGTAACTCAAATCAAATAGGCTGAGTCATTTTGCTATAGTGTTAACCAAATCTAAATTGACCAAAACAAATTTATTCTGTAAACTGATAGACGAATAGACTGCCCCTTCTCTAGTTGCATGTGTATCTTCGAAAAAAAAAATCAGCAAATATTTTCAGACTTAACATGCTCATATTAGTTTTTAAAATACTATTTTCTGAAGCTGTAGGATGATATTGGTCATTTTTCTATCTGAAACAATAATTTCAAAACCTTTTCTGGTTTTTGTTCTCAAATATATTTTGAGTGTGTTTGACCATTTTCCTTGTAAAATACAGAATACATGACAAATGAAAATATATTTGAGTTCATTTTGAAGTTGATGAAAACTAAGACAAACTCAGTGTCAAAACTGAGACTGGAACACTGGTGTAATCAATTCATTTCAGGAAACTAGTTTCCCTTCAAATAATGGTGGTCATCCAGACTTGCCCCCCTCTGCCCCACAATGAGCTCCGCAAGGGCAGAAACCAATGTAAAAGGAAGTTACTCTTTCCAGAGAAAAAGCCCCTGTTTCAGCAAGTGTTGTCATGTCCAAATTAACTTGAAGCCTAAAGTTTTTCCTATTTTTAGTCCTATGTGATTACCCAATCTTTTTTCTGAAGCTATATGAATATGGAGAAGTTTTAAACATATGTGAATGAAACATCCTTTTACATTTATAGATACTAAATTGAGAAAGGTCTCTATCTTTTAAAGAAACTTATCAATTCATCCCATTCTACTTGGCTGGACTGCCCTGAGTTCTTGGTTGCTATCTGCATATTTGTGCTGGAATAAAAGAATTCTTCAGTTGATTCGCTCTGCTATCTTCTTTTTGGCTTGCCTTGCAATTTATAAGAAAACTTTTTTGCATGATTGCATGTGAACATAATGTTTACTAGTGTTTGATTCCCAGCCTGCAGAGCAATTTAAATTGAAAGTATTTGAAAGAGATGAAATTTAGATAAGTGAACTTAAATATTTTCAAAAGAAACAGTCCTTATATCTATTATCTTGAAGTTCTCTGGGTGGTGCAAATGATTTATACTTGTCTACTGACAAGCTACGAGTCAGCTGAGTCAGTTCTGACTCCAAGGCATAAAACTGGCTTGAAAGTTTGTGTTTAAGTCTCCCCAGTAGCACTACAGAAGAAAGGCCTGCCAATCCGCTTCCATGAAAATTGTTATTGGAGGCCATTGAGTTAGATTGCAACTCATAGTGACCCCATGCACAAAGAGTAGGTTGTCCTCATAAGATTTTGGACAATCTCCTCTCATGTGATTTACTGCCCTTGAAAACCCACTGAATGAATGGTCAGCTATGGGTCAGCACTAACTCAATGACACATAATAACATCAGCAATCTGAATAGGAGCAGCATATCTGGGCTTTCTTCCTGAAAGCCTTTCAAACTCATTTTCATTAGTTGTGGGCAAAAAATGGGCCATCTCCTCCTTTGAGACTTGCAGCCTTAAAAAACCCACTGAAGGGTCAGCTCTGACTCAGCATGTAAGAACAAGAAAAACATCTTGAGTTTGTACCAGGGCACTTTATTTTTGCACCATCCAGACTCCTATAAAAGTTGCAGGGAGAGAACTGTTTACAAGGGATTTATGATTGGGTATTCTTGTCATGGCAGGAGTCCAGAATGAAGGCTGCACAGTGGAGTGGACTTGGGAGTGGGGGATTGCATAACAATGAAAGAGTTTTTCTTTTACTTTTCAAGGATAAGAGTGAATGGGGAGGCACGGAGGGAAATGCAACACGAATGACTAGAAATCCTAAGTCTCTGTAAACTTTCATTAAAATTAATTAAATTTAAAAAAGTTGCAGGCAAGAAAACTTTATGGAGAGGTTTTCAGTGTGTCAATCAGATCACCATGTGCTGGAATCAACAACTTTGATTTTTGTTTGTTGGTTTGTTCTTTTTTAAACTATGCTCTTCCTATTTGGGGGAGACTATAAGGGAAGCTAAGAGTACTCATCAGGAAATTGTATTGACTTGATATGTTTAACATGTCCCCAGTGTAATTGACTAGAATTTCAGGTAGGAGAAAGTTTCACCCTTACCAATTTTATTGTCTTCTTTTATAAGATAGCAACTGAAGCTGTGGAGAATATACGTACTGTAGTGTCATTAACAAGAGAAAAAGCCTTTGAGCAAATGCATGATGAGACGCTTCAGACTCAACACAGGTGACAGCAGTTTCCTTCTAATTCTATTTACTGTATCCAGCAAAGCTCTTTGCTCTGGAATGTTCCTTCATTATGGCATAACATAATTTCTCATATAACTTTACCAAGAAGCACTCTAAAGAGAAATCAAGAGTTGGCACAGTTAAAATAAGTGCTTTGGATCCTCCCACACTAGCTGTCTCTTACTACCTTTCACACTTTTCTATTTTCTTGAATTAAGACAATAAATGCCATATTCAAGAGAGAAAATACGATCATAGCATGAGTGGCATCCACTTCATAAATAACATGCCTCTGGAAACTATTAACCTTGAGAAGCAACGATAGTTATAGAAAGGCTTCAGGCCTTTTGTTTACAGGGTCGCTATGAGTCGTGCTCGACTCAATGGCAGTAGACAACAACAACACCCTTTACATTGTTGTTGTTGTTGTTGTTGTTGTTGTTGTTATGTGCCGTTGAGTCACTTGCGACTCATAGCAACCCTATGTACAATAGCCCTAAACACTGCTCTATCCTGTGCCAATCACACTGCCTCTGACACACCCATCCCAATTACCGCAGTCACTGAATCAATCCACCTCATAGAGGGTCTTCCCCTCCTGCGCCGTCCCTCCACCCTCCCAAACATGATGTCCCTCTTCAAGGACCTTTCCCTCCTTACAATATGTCCAAAGCATGTCAGACAAAGCCTCAGAATCCTTGCCTCCAAGGAGTAGCCGGTTTAACCCTCTCCAGGATGAATCTGTGTGTTTTCTTGGCAGCCCATGGTACATTCAATACTCTTCTCCAGCACCACAGCTCAAAGACATCAATTCTCAATTCTCCTTCTATCCTCCCTAGTCATTGTCCAACACTCTGATGCATAACAAGTAATTGCAAAGACCATGGCCTGTATCAGACACACCTTAGTCTCCAGAGAGACACCGTTGCTCTTGAGTACTTTAGAGAGGTCCCTAACAGCAGACTTCCCCATCGCAATACGTTTTTTGATTTCCTGACTGCTGGTGCCAAGAGTGTTGACCATGGAGCCAAGCAAACTGAAGCTCTGAACAATCTCAATCTCTTCACCATCCATCCTGATGCTACCAATTGGCCCAGTGGTGAGAATCTTTGTCTTCTTGACATTGAGTCTCAGTCCATACTGAAGGCTGCGGTCCTTGGCCATCTGCAGCAAGTACATGAGGTCCTCCTCAGTTTCAGCAAGCAAGGTTGTGTCATCTGCATAACGCAGATTGTTAATAGATCTTCCACCAATCCTGACGCCACACTTCTCCTCATAGAGCCCAGCCTCTCAGATAATCTGTTCTGCATACAGGTTGAAAAGGTATGGGGGACACATCCCTGGCGTACACCCTTCCCAATTTTGAACCAGGCAGTGTTACCCTGCTCTGTTCTGATGACTGCTTCTTGTTCCAAGTATAGGTTTCTCATTAGCACGGTTAAATGTTCTGGGATTCCCATTCTTCTCAGAGTCAGCCACAGTTTGTTATGATCCACACAGTCAAATGCCTTTGCAAAAATCAATGAAACACAGATGTACATTCTTCTGGTATTTCCTGCTTTCAGCTAAAATCCATCTAACATCAGCTACAATATCCCTAGTCCCACGACCCCTTCTAAACCCAGACTGGGCTTCTGTCAGTTCTCTGCTGATGTGCTCTTCCAGTCACTTTTTGGATAATCTTCAGTAGAATCTTGCTTGCATGTGAAATCAATGATATTGTTCTATAGTTTCCACACTGTTGGGTCACCCTTCTTTGAAATGGGAACAAATATAGATCTCTTCCAGTCAGTTGGCCAAGTGGTCGTTCTCCAGATTTCTTGGCACAACTTGGTGAGCACATCCAGGGCAGCATCTGTTAGCTGAAATACGTCAATTGGTATACCATCTATTCCAGGGGCCTTATTTTTTGCTATTTCCTTCAAAGCAACTTGAACTTCTTCCATCATCACCGTAGGCTCTTGCTCAAATGTTATTTCATTAAATTCTTCTGTATCTGCCAATTCCTTTCTATACAATGACTCAGTATATTCCTTCCATCTTCTTTTAATACTTCCTGGATCATTTAATATTCTGCCTAAAGCATCCTTGTTTATAGCAACTCGAGGTTTGAATTTGTTCTTCAGTTCCTTGAACTTAAGACATGCTGAACGAGTTCAGCCCTTTTGATTTTCCGACTCTAGCTCCTTGCACATTTCATTGTAATATTTTGCTCTGTCATCTCATGCTGCCTTTTGGAATCTTCTGTTCAGCTCTTTAGTATCTTGAATTCTTCCTTGTGCTTTGGCTTCTCTGCACTCCAGTGCAATCTTCAGAGTTTCTTCTGACATCCATTTTGGTCTTTTCTTCCTCTTCTGTCTTTGTAATGACCATTTGCACTCTTCCTGGATGATACATTTGACATCCTCCCACAACTCATCTGGTCTTTGCTCATTAGTGTTCAAGGCCTCAAATCTGTTCCTGAGATGATTCTGAAATTCAGGTGGGAAGAAATCAAAGTCATATTTTGGCTCCTGTGAATTTGGTTCAATTTTCCTCAGCTTCAGCTTGAACTTGCATATGAGTAGTTGATGGTCTGTTCCACAATCAGCTCCTGGCCTAGTTTTCACAGCTGATATTGAGCTTCTCCAGCGGATTTTTTCCACAGATGTAATCTATCTGATTCTTATGCATACCATCAGGTGAAATCCATGTGTATAACCTACGTTTATGTTTCTTATAAAACGTATTTGCAATGAATAAGTCATTGATTTTACAAAATTCAATCATTCTATCTCCAGCTTCATTTCTGTCACCAAGTTCATGTTTTCCAACTACTAATTCTTCTTCTCTGTTCCCTACTTGTATGCACAGTAAATGTGCTGTATCTTTTCATTATAAACAGGTATATCTTACACATTTGCAGGATATTGCTCTGTCATAGGTACCTGGGTATTCTTTTATGTTCATTCTTATGGTTAATTGTTACCAAGCTTCACTGAGTCAAAGCCAACTCATAGTTGACCCTCCAGTGGGTTTGCAGAGGTTGTAAATTTCTCCCAATTCTCCCACTGAGCAACTCCATAGATTCAAACCCTGCGTCTTTGTGTTGACAGTGCAACTCCTTACCACCAAGCCACCACAGCTTCCTGGTCAGTACTACCTATTTAATAGGAGGCCTCGTGAGTAAATAGTTGTGCTAACAATCCAGAGGCAAGTGGTTCAAATCCATCAGATACTCCAAGGGAGAAAATAAGCACTTTCCTCCCATGAAATTGAAGTGATTTCAACTCAGCAACAATGAACAACTTATTCTCTGAGTGCAATATCATAATAGAGAATATTTCAAAATCTGTTTAAACCAAATCTCTCCAGCTCTTTTATTAAAGTGGCCTTTCACTGACTTTGTTCATTCTCTGTCTTTTTTTTTTATTTCCATTCATTCAATGATGCACTTTTCTCCTCACCCACCCCTCCCCACAGCACACTCCCCTCTTTGAAAAGTAAAAGAAAAATTCTTTCATTGTTTTACAATCCTTCCTCCCAGGTCCACTACACTATGCAGCCTTCGTTCTGGACTCCTGTCATGACAAAAATACCTAATCACATATCCCTTTTAAACAGTTTTCTCCCTCATCTGTTTCAATGCAGTATGCATTATTTATCCCATCTTTCTCAGTCTTTCCCCAACCCTGATGTCAGTCCTGTTTTACAAAAGTGGCACCATGTGGTATTTATCCTTTCATGACTGAGATACTTCACTCAGCATAATGTTCTCCAGGGTCACCCATTTTCAATAATATTGTCCGAGTTCCTTGTTTTTCAATGCAGTGTAGTATTCCATTCTGTGAATATACCACAGCTTCTCTTTCCATTCGTTTGTTGATGGGCACTTAGGTTATTTCCAACTCCTTGCTGACACTTCACCAAAGAAGACTTTCAGATGGCCAACAAGCACATGAAGAAATGTTCAAAATTCATAGCTCTAAGAGGGATGCAAAACAAAACAACTATGAGATATCATCTCTCACCAGTAAGAATAGCAAAATTTAACAGAACAGCTAGCAACAAATGCTGGAGAGGTTGTGGAGAAACTGGAACCCTTATTCACTGTTGGTGGAAGTGCAAAATGGTGCAACCATTGTGGAAGGTGGTGTGAAGCTTTCTCAAAAAGTTGCAAATAGAGAAACCATTTGATCCAGCAATTCTAATACTGGGAATATAATCGAAAGAGACCATAACTGCCACCCAAGCAGATATATGCACACCCATGTTATTGTGGCTTTGTTCATTCTTTTTTTAAAAAAAAAAATATTTTATTAATTTTAATGAACATTTACAGAGATTTTGGATTTCCATTCATTCATTGTTGCATTTTTCTCCCTGCCCACCCCTCCATCCCCCCAGTTCACTCTTCTCTTTGAAAAGAAAAAGAAAAATTCCTTCATTGGTTTACCATCCTCCTCTCCCCATTCCTTGAGTATACTTCACTGTGCAACCTTCATTCTGGACTCTTGTCATAACCATAATACCCAATCACGTATCGCTTTTAAACTGTTTTCTCTCTCCTCTGTTTCAATACATTATACACAATAGTTACACTTAATTATAGAGTAAATGGGTGGGGGTAGGGAGGATCATTTTCTCTTTTTCTTTAAAAATTATTGTAAAGAGTCATTTCTCTTTAATCCCTACAACCATGAATAAATTTTAGCATTTCTAAATCTTCTGTACTCACAGCTCTAAATGTTTATTACCTGGACCTTGCTATCTATTTCGTGTTCGTTATTTGGTAATTTTGTGTTTCAGAAATGCCTTGAAGAAAGCACAGATCTTTGGGAGCTGTTATGCTTTCAGCCACGCCTTTGTGTACTTTAGCTATGCTGCTGGATTCAGATTTGGTGCCTACTTAATGCAAACTGGAAGAATGACCCCTGAAGGCATGTTCACGTAAGTCATGTAAACATCTAAACACTCAAAGGGAACCTTGCATTTCAATTAACCTGAACAATTTCCAGTTTCTCATAGATGCTTGCTTAGAAAGGTGTATGCTTGGAAAATGAAAATATATTTCTTGTCTTTTAAAAGCTAGCCTGACTGGTGAAACAATGACATAATATTTTAAAGATGATCTGAATTAAACTTCCAGATTAATTGGTCTTGAGTTCAGTTTTCTAGAAATTGAAAATGGAGGGTTGAATTATGCCTCTCTGTCATCCAGTCCTTGGGGAAATTCCTAGAGTGAAGACCTCTTCATTCAATACAACAGTAAACTGGTGCAGCTGAGTTCTTTCCTAAGCAAATATTGCAGAGCAAACACATGTAAATGCAGTTCCCTTCAATTAGTCAATTAGTCACATTTGAAACTCATGATAGAATTCTAAGGAACTTGTCTTTTTCCAAAACATTTGTGGAGCATTATGGGATCAGAATTTTTAGAATTCTGATCTCATAATTAGGATTGATTTTTTTTTTCAAATAGCTCAATTCTGTCCTTAAATATGAATTAATCCTCCATCGATTAGCACTCTTTGAAACGTCAGGGAGGAGATTACCACTCTTTCTTTCTAGGAGCAAACAGCTTGTGGATTCGAACTGCCTGTCATTGGGTTGGCAGCAAAAGTGTTTATCCACTAAGCTCTTACTTTTTTAAATGTTGTTAGGTGCCATCAAGTCAACTTGACTCTCAGTGGCCCTCTGAACAGATCTGAACCTGGCCTTCTTCACCTGTGCCATCCTCATGTTTTATATCATACTCAAGCTCATTGGTGCAGTCACGGTGACAGTCCATCTCATTGAGAGTCTTCCTCTCTTACACTGACCTTCTACCTTTCTAAGCATCTTTCCCTAGGGACTACTTTCTCCTGAAAATATGCCCCAAATAAGTAAGATGAAGTTTCATCATCCTTGCCTCTAAGGAGCACTCTGGTTGCACTTTCTTTGAGAAATATTTGTTTGCCCTTTTGACAATTCATAGTATATTCAATACTCTTCTCCAACACCACAAACCAAAGGCATCAATTATTCATTGTCTGACTTTCATCAATTATTCAGTCATCCTTATTCATAAGGTAGCCAAGGAAGGACAGAACCAGTTCAGGCTAACAAAGACAGTTCATTGAGGAGAAACTGCTGGACTAACTCTAAAGGAAAAACCAGCCCCCATTTAAAGTTAGAGAGAGGTTTTAGATTGTCTCACAAGGAAATTGGGGAAGAGGATGTTCACAGTTGTTTTTTACAAAGTAGGGAAGTAGACTGGGGGTTGCAGATAGCTAGCTATCCCTGGGAAATGAAGGTAGAAGAGCTTTGCATCCTTAACAGAGATAAACAGAACCACAACTGATACTTCCTGTAGTTCATTTTGGTGGCTTTTCTGGGAAAGGAAGGGAGAGCAGCATCGTGGCCCTAACAATTGTTCAACTTTCAGAATCAAAGGAAGCAATTGCACAGAGCCTGGCTTAAATTAAGCGCACCTTAGCCTTTAAACTGACAGCAGATTTCCCCAATGTAAGAGGTCTTTTGATTTCTTGACTGTCTCTATGATGGATATGGATCCAAATAAAACAAAATAGCTGATAGCTTCAATCTTTTCTCCATCTATCCTGATGTTGTCTATTGGCCTTGTAGAGAGACATTTTTTTTTCTTGCTGTTGAGATATAACCTATCTAGAAAGATGTAGTCTTTGATTTTCTGAAGCAAATGCATTAAGTCTTCTTCATTTTCTGCAGGCAAAATTGCACCATCTGCATAATACAGGCTATTGATGAGTCTTCCTCCAATCCTGATGCCACATTCTTTTTTATAGTATTTCTCAAATTATTTGTTAGCATACAGATTGAATAGGTATAGAGAAATGATACAATGCAGATGTACACATTTGTCTGATTTTAAATTATGCAATGTTTCCTTGTTCTGTTCAGACAACTGCTTCTTGGTCTAGGTATGTTGTTGTGTGTTGTTAAGTGCCATTGAGTCGCAGGTGACTCATAGTGACCCTGCTCCAGGCCCTAGCTTAAAATCCTTCACGAGGCTGGGGGACTGGAGTCTCTCTACACTCTGGAAGTCATCTGACTAAGCAGGTGGGATGGCTGGCGTCTCCATGGTGGCTCCTCTTGGTGGCAGTCAGGCAAGGGAAGTTTCTGGGGTCTTTCATGTTGTGTGTTACTGTCCTTTTTGGCCATCAAAGATGGATGGGTGGCCCTGACCCTTAGAGTAAAGGTAAGTAAGGATGGGGTCAAGTCTGTGGAGCCTGCTCCAGGCATTAGTCTAAAATCCTTCACGAGGGTTGGGGACTGGAGTCTCTACACTCTGGAAGTTAGCTGGTCTAGGTATGTTTTTGTTGTTGTTGTTGTTGTTGTGTGCCGTCGAGTCGCTTACTACTCATAGCGACCCTATGTACAACAGCCCTAAACTCTGCTCTG